ATGTGTGTGTGTGTGTGTGTGTGTGTGTGTGTGTGTGTGTGTTATTAATAAGTTTGAAACCATTCTGATCCCCAGCCTATGTTTGTATATGATCTGGGGTTTTGTTTCTTTCTCTTTTTTTTTCCTGGAAGCCTGTAAGATCTTTATTTTTCACTGGAGGTAACAAATGGCCCTTTTTTCCCATTTGTTCAGTGTTCTGTATACTTACAACTGAAATATCACAATGTTGTATCTTGGCTTGAGTCTATTTTTATCCACTGTGTTGGTCAGTGCTTTCATCTAGAAACTCGTGTCCTTTAGTTATGAGGGAGTTTCTTATATTATTTTGTTGACAAAGTTTTCCCCACCCTTTGTTTGCTTTCTCTTTAGGGAACTCCAATTATATGCATATTGGACCTCCTGAATGGTCCTCTAATGTTTTTATCTTTTCTATTTCATTTTCCACGTCTTTATCTCTTTTGCTACTTTATGTGAGATTTCTTCACCTTTTTCTCCTGGATTCTGTATTTAAAAGTTCATTTTTGCTGTTTTGTTTTAATTTCCAAGAGCTTTTGTTGTTGCTGTTCTCTGATTTTTCTTAATAGTTTTGTTCTTTTTGGTTTTTGTTCTTTTTTTGTAAGAGAATATTTATTTGATAAATCATAGAGTATGAAAAGTAATTCCTTAAAAAAATGGGTTTAGGAAACAAGTTATCGAGATAAAGGAACGGCCTTTAGAGCTTGGGAGTGAGGAAGCTAATGGTAATGTGCCTGGGACAGAGAGCACAGTGGTTCCTCTGTCCTAAGGGTTTTCAGGGAGGAGATTTTAGGGGAGGCCCCAGGGGGAAGCTCTCAATAGACTATTCAACAGTTTCTTATTCTTTTTGCATGCAAGTGACATGATGAAAATTATTATTGTCCATTGTTTTGTTTCTTCTCCCTCTTTGTTTCCAGAGGTTTTCTTGTCAATCTGTCTCTCCTGTGAGAGACTTTCCTCAGATGTCTGGAGAGGGCAAGAGGGCGGCTACCAGCAATCCCAGAGTGAAGGGGCAGGGAGCAGGTGAGGGTCTCAGCATTTCATATTTACACACTTAACCACTTGGTTTGGGGTTCAGTACCCCTGCCCTTTGCTGTGTGTTCCCTACTGTGTTCCGGGTCCAGAAACCCTGTTTTACCCTTTCCAGATGCTATACTTATATTCTTTAGTTGAGATGGAGAGTGGAAACCACCTGAAATTCGAGTGCAGAAAAGGATTTAGGAACCAACTTCTTTCTTTCTTTCTTCCTTTCTCTCTCTCTCTCTCTCTCTCTCTCTCTCTCTCTCTCTCTCTTTCTTCCTTTTTTTAAAAATATATTTTTATTGATTTCAGAGAGGAAGGGCGAGGAAGAGAGAGATAGAAATATCAATGATGAGAGAGAAGCATTGATCGGCTGCCTCCCGCATGCCCCCAACTGGGGATCGAGCCTGTGCCCTTGACCAGAATCGAAACTGGGACCCTTCAGTCTGCAGTCTGACGCTCTATCCACAGAGCCAAATCAGCCAGGGCCCAACTGCTTCTTAAACACCTTCCAAACTGTCCTGGTTTTAGCCCTTCCCTCTTCATTCCCACCTTCATGATGCCTTTAAAGATTCTACAGTCTATGTTCAGCTAGTCCTTGGTTATCTACATTGCTGATTTACTAGGTCCGTTACTGCACACTCATGGACTTTTTAAAGTATATTTTTATTGATTTCAGAATGGAAAGGAGAGGGAGAGATAGAAACATCAATGATGAGAGAGAATCATTGAGTGACTGCCTCCTGCATGCTTCCTACTGGGGATCAAGCCTGAAACCTGGGCATGTGCCTTTGACCGGAATCAAACCCTGAACCCTTCAGTCCGCAAGCCAATGCTCTATCCACTGAGCCAAACTGGTGAGGGGACATTCATGGACTTTCTGTTTTATCTCCTTTTTTGCTCTATAAGTTTATGCCCATTTTTTCTTTTAATGGAAGGTGGCTAGGTACATTTGTTCTCTCTGCCACTCTTCTCCCCATCCATCACGTCAGCTCACTAAGCTAAATGCTGAATTCAGGATCTCTCAAATACTGCACACGGTTCTCCTTCCAGCTCCCCTGTCTGTCTACCACCATTCTTCCTGTCTGTCTGCCTCCAAAAATAAGAATAATTTAATATTCCTTCTTTTGTAACACAGATCCCTGCTTTCATGGATTTCTGGCATTTTTCCTCCTACAATTCAGTACATAGCAAAAATCCTACTTTGTATTCCTTTTTGAAGAAACAAAGATAATGAGATGCAATCATTTGAATCAAGGAACTTCCAGTGTAGTGCGGGGCGGGGGGAGGGGGGGGCAGCGGGGAAGGCAGGTAGAAAACTGACTAAGAGATGATGATGATAATGTTGATGATGAAGATAACAAATGAAAAAAATCTTAGCTAACCCTGTTGAAATTGTAGTTTGTGCCAACCACTGTGCTAGATCCTCTACTGTGTTCTTTCACTTGATCCTAATTACTCTCTGGAAAAGGTACTTTTAATTGTCATTTTACATGTAAGGAAACAGGTACTGAGGTAACAAAATTTTTTCAGGGCATTATATATAATACATGCATAAACCAATGTGCTAAGAGAAACCAGGGATAGTAGAAAGTAATGTTTAACTTGAAAATCAATGAAAGCTTGAGAAAGTAGATTTCCAAATTTGTTTTTTCCTCTGGATTCCCTTAGATGGGACCACACACCAGGCTCTTTCATCACTTCACTTAATTCAAAGTGTTAACCTTAGCAAGTCTCTCTGTACCTAACGCTTTTCATGTTCCCTGATGTCTACTAACAGGTGAGGCTTTCAAATATATTGCCATCATGCTGTCATTCACTGCTCAACAACCTACTCTCTTTACCGATCATGTCATGTTTGGTCTTCTGGGCCTGTTTTCAAGAGCCTCAGTAAGTTGGTCACGTATACCAAATCCATCCCCCATATCCGCCACATGGGTCCCCTCCATTGTGTTTTTACACAAGTCGTATTCTTTGCTACCCTTTTGCTTTTTTCAATTTATTTTTTAAATATTTTTTATTGATTTTTAGAGAAAGGGGGAAGGGAAAGGGAGAAAGATGGAGAAAAACATCAATGTGAGAGAAAACATTGATCAGTTGGCCTCCTGTATGCTGCTGAACTGGGGATGGAACCCAAAATCTGAGTATGTGCCCTGACAGGGAATCAAATCAGCAACCTTTTAGTGCACCAGATGGTGTTCAACCACCTGAGCCATGCCAGCCAGAGCACTACCCTTTTGTTTTTACTAAAACTTTCCTCTTTGCCTAACTAATTTCTCATGGCCCCATTTTTCCATAAACTCTTTCTTGGCAGCCCAATCCCACTGGGATGTCTTTTTCTCCCAAGCTCCCATGATGCTTAGCACTGATTAGTTGTACCAGTCATTGGGTCCTCAACACGTACAACCCAATGTAATGTTAATGCTAGCTTGTCCAACAAATTAGTCATGCACCTAAGGCACCGGCAAAGCAAGTGTGCCAAAAATACTTTCTTTTGAAAGAATTTATTATTTCAAAAAATCATCCTAGGAAAAAAATAGAATTTCTTTGAAGTGTCTTGTTTTTATAGTTGTTGTTTTTATTTTGATACATGATCTTTACTATGCTTAGAGCTTGTAAAATTCTTACTCTGTCTCTGGATATTGTTCATTTTCATCTTAGAAGGTTCTTGGGTAAATGGACCATGTCTTACACATCTCTGTATAATTGTACTCAAGGTAGACCCTCATTGAACATAGGATGTTTTTAACATCATATGTCAATTTTTTTTTTAAAGACATGCAATGTACCACCTCAATGTAAGTCAGCGTGTGAACAAGTACAACATGTAGATAAACAATGATGAAACCAGGGCCCTTCCTTCCTCAGAGTTTACAGTCTAATGGAGGGAATGTTATATAAATGAATTACTGTCATCCAGGGCATACAGTGAGCAGACTCATCCAAGAGGTTGAAGGTCCTATAGAAAGTAAAAGAACAGAGTAGTTACCTTTAGTTGGATTTTTTTTTTAATCTTCATGGAGGAAGTGGTGTATGAAATAAGTTTTGAAGGATCAGTAGAACTTTGCAAAATATCGATGGGCATGGAGGCAAGCCAACTGGGGGAAATAACCCGTGCAAAGGCATAGAAACAGAACAATATAGACATGTTTAGAAAATAGTGAAAAATACAGATTGGCTGGAAATAGGTGTGGCCTAAGGAGTTTCAGAGGTAATGCTGGAAGGCCAATGGTGCCATATTGTGAAAGACCGTGAATGCTTAGTTGAGTGCACTAAAGACTGGCAGGCAATGCAGAACTGCTTAAGGCTTCTTAACAGGGGAGTGGCTTGTAGGATAAGAGCATTTTTTTTAAAATTGTGTCTATAGATAGTGAATTATTCTAATAATCGATAAATTGGTAAAAGTCTACACATTTGCTTTACTTTCAAATTCTATACATCATTTTCATTATGAGCAAAGCTACTAGTATTTTCTAAATTTTGTATTCTGTTAAAATATTTTACATGTGTCCATTGAAACTTTATTGATATGTCTCCAAGAAGCAAATGCCTTGAATTTGTTCTGCTAAATTGAAACCTTACCCGTCAGAGAAGAGACGTGTTGTCAAGTCATGTTTGTCAACAGTAATAAAGAGCAATAGCTTTGGGTTATTGAACAATTCCAACATGCCCAGCATGGGCTAAATAGCTCACACGTTGTGCCATTTAAATCTCACTGCAATCTTATTTCAGAGAAGAAATACTGAAGTGTGGGTGAATTGTTCATTGAATTGGGAGTGTCAGGAGCTGGGCCTGGTGAATTTCAGAGCTTGTCTGCCTGGGCTGACGGTTCCAGATCAGGAGCTCCATCCCCCATATCACTGCCTAGCGCCTCTGAGGAAACGCTCTCTGTCACTTTGTTGATGCAACTTGGCTGTGACACGGAGGCAACTTGCAGACCTCAATTTTCAACTTTTTTGTTGTTACAGGAAGAGAAGTTAAGAGAAACCTAATGGACAATCTTCACAACAGGTAAGCTATTTTCTTGTTTTAATGCTATGGGGGGGAAAGTCTGTTCTTTCTACTATCCATTAAATTTTCGATTACTCGGTCTTTCACTACAGTTTTTATTATCTAAAACATTAAAACCAGTAGGCAGAGTAAACCCCAAAGTCTGTATCTTTCTGGCACATTCAGATTGAGTAGAACTCGATTTCCTCTTTACTTCTGTTGTTTGGGGCTACAATTCTCAAACACGTGAGACCCAACTAGATCTTCACCCTGGAAGATTTTCAGTTATTCTATCTCCCCAGGCAATGTGGGGTTTCTCTAATAAAGACCATCCCTCCCAAATAGTGATTCTTAAAGTATGTTCCCAGGACCAACATCATCAGCCTCACGTGGAATTTGTTAGAAATGCAGATTCTAACTGGCCCCACCCCAGTCCTGCTCAGTCAGAAGTCTGGGGGTGAGGCCCAGCCTCCTAGGATATTCTGGTGCACTCAAGGTTAAGAGCCAGGCCCTAGGATTGCAGGCCTTCCTTTCTTTTATTTCTCTCTGGGTCTTCTCCCCAACTCCCTTACTATTTTCCATCTTCAGCCTGACATGGGGATAGGATCTGTTGTCTAGCTTATTCCAGTGGAACCAGCCTGTTCTCCCTACTGGGATCCTGAAAGTAGTGTGTGCATTGTCCTTGTTTGCCTCTGCAAATTCTAGATGATCAAGCTGCCTCCTTGATGTAAAACCTTATCTACCTTTATCTTGCCTCATTAGAGGGTGCATTTAAGAGAGAGTGTGTAAGAGGTGGCATCCCGCCTCCCTGTAGCATTCCTGCGATCCTGAGCTGGCACTGCGTTCCCCCTGGGGTGCACCCTGGACCCCACCTGCACCATTATCTGCTCACCTTTGCCCACAAGCCTCTTCTAATCTTCCCAAGGTTACTCAGGCACTCCCCACCTTATGTAACAGATGGTATAACATTTCAATACAACACGTTATTAGTCATGTCTTTATATAACTGTCTCCTTTCCTGGACTGTACACTCCTTCCAGGTCCCTAGAATCAAGTCCAGTACTTGCCACATCATATAGATGCTCAAGACATGTTTGTTGAATGAATGGGTGATGAGGCCTTTAACAGACAGGGGAGATCTTCTGCCTTTTTGTGTCCTAATAACTGGTAGAGAGTCTAGCCTCCAGTAGGAACTTTACTCAGTCTTTTCAAGTGCAAAATCTATTTTTACTGTAATTCAAAAAAACTTTGGGATCCCAATTCTGCACACCAAGGGTCCTCTACAGATATGGGACAGTCTGTTTTTTTCTTGTCCTCTATTTGTGGCTTCCAACCCCAAGTCCACATTTATAAAAAAGGTGATTGGGTGTGATGTTCTCTAAGATTCGCTGTGGGATCCAGGGGGAGGAGCTGGACCCTTGCACACCCCATAGGCTCCTTCCTCTCCCAGCCTCTCCCTCAGAATTATTGTCCACACATACAGGTGGGAGAGAGAAACCCAGATTCCCCCATTTGGGGGTTGATGAGCAGTCATTGCATCAAAAGAGGCCTAAATAGAATTGCAGGAGCCTTTGACCCCACGGTGGTCTGGCCAGACGACTGAATAAACTCATGGCCAGCTTATAGGAGACACTAATTGTCTCAAATATTTACCACGTCACTCCCTCCCTAACTTTGCTACGTGGCAGAACACCTACACTATTTTTGCCCTGATTCTCATGTTTCTGAGACTTTTCCCCTACAAAGTCCCTCTCTTGAAATTACCGTAGATCAAGCATGTCAAATTCGCAAACTGTGGACCACATGTGGCCCACAACAAATATTTTTGCGGCCCAGCCAATATAACGGGGTGAGCAGTTATTTATAATTATGAAAGGAAATAGGTCTCCTGTCAGATCCAGAATTACTGACATTCACCTTGGGTCAGTTTTGAAAGTAATCACTGCGAACAAGATTTCCCCCGAAGTAGGAAAGACAGTAGCAGAGAAGAGATGCCAAGTGTCAGGAAGAAAACATTAATTTTATCACTGCTCTTGTTCTTTTTTTTTATACTATACTTTTCGAAATAAATCTACGTTTCTATGAAAATTGGAGCTTTTGGTTTTTTTTGCGGCCCACATAAACTTACACCTTGTTTATTTGGCCCGTGTTAGCCTTTGAGTTTGACATGCGACATGCTTGCCATAGATTAAATAACCACTATATACTGCCATCTGGTGGTGAATAGATAAAACCACATCTACCTGCTTTTTATTGCATAATCCAGTGGACTCAGAAAACAACCTACCAAGACAGGTGATAGTAATACAATAGGAAATATTATATAATAGACGTAGTTACATATTATATAATCAGGAAATATTGCTAATAAAGACAATAGCCACAGTGCTAATAATAACCATACTGTACCACTTTCTAACTTTTATATCCATTTACTTATCCATAAAATACTGGTTTCCACCTAAAAGGGTTAAGTTTAAGTGAATACAAGAAAGTTCTTAAAACGGTACTTGATGCACAGTCAATACTCAAATTTTAACTACTTATTATAGTTGTTAGTAAGCCCTGGCAGGGTGCCAGGCATTTACAGTAAATGCCTTACATACTTTCATCTCCTTTAATGTTCCAAGTGATCCTGACAAACAGGAACTGTTATCAGTCCCATTTTTCAGATTAGACAACTGATGCTCACAGAGGCTAAGAAATTTGCCCAGAGCTCACAAAGCTGATAAGGGGTGAAGGCAGAACTGGAACCCACAACTCAACATTGTTTATTTAGCCACTCTGCTGAACTGCCTGTGTGGTGGGACGGATCTCCCCAAATGTTCATGTAAATGCCATCCCGCCCCACACATCCACCCCCACCCCACAGGGTGCCCTGATCTGGGTCCTCATCCCTCCCAGGGACCTTGCCATGACACCCACTCTCTCCCCACCTCGGGGCTCCAGGGTGTGGGACACAGTTCCAGAGGAGATGGGCGGGGGGGCGGGGGAGGGCGGGCGTGGTTGAGGGGAGCTTTCTGCTGTCAGTCGGGATCATGGGTCAGGTGAGTGTGGACTTGGGACCCAACACACCTCAACGGCAGCGCAATGGGGTGTTGACAACCCGTTGAGCAGGGTTCCCACCTGTAAAAGGTCATGTTGGTGCCTCCCTGGCAGTGGAGTTCTCAGGACTCAATGAGGTAACTGTACTCCAGGCTGAGTTCCCTTCTTCCTGAGTCACTCACTGTTGAGATTACTAGACTCGATTCGCAAGAAAACCCTGGTGCCGTGGACTCCTTTTGCAGATAAAGAAACAGGCAGGCCCTAACCGGTTTGGCTCAGTGGATAGAGCGTCAGCCTTCGGACTGAAGGGTCCCAGGTTCGATTCCGGTCAAGGGCATGTACCTTGATTGCGGGCTCATCCCCAGTAGGAGGTGTGCAGGAGGCAGCTGATCGATGTTTCTAACTCTCTATTCCTCTCCCTTCCTTTCTGTAAAAAATCAATGAAATATATATATATATATTTTTTTTTTTTAAAGAAAGAAACTGGTAGGAATCCAGAGATTCAACAGCTTCCCCAATCTCCGCGGTTGGTGACAGCTGTTGACAGGACCCGCATGTCCTACACCCGGCACAGACTTCAGGGGCTGCGTTCACCCAAACACCACATTACATATTAGCTTAGAGCCCAGAACTCCACCAGACGATTAGGACTGTCATCCTGACAGTTACTAGTTTTCCCCAACATGTTCCACAAAACACAAGTTGTGTTGGTTGTTAATAGTCTTTTGTGGAAAAAGAAAAGGTCTGTGCTCACATAATTTGGGGAAGTGCGAGGTTAGGCAGAGTGAAATAGTTCCTGTTCATAATGATGAATGTGTTCATCCCTATTCTCTGCTGTGCCCAAACCTGCTTGACCAAGGAACCACTTTTTCAGGGGGGACCTACAAACACATCCCCGCACACTGAGAGCCCATCAAGCCCAGTTCTAGGTGATGCCAACACCTGTGTCGTAGACATCGGCTATTGCGAGTGCATAATGGACCGTTCGATGGTGATAATAAAGGGCTCCATAGAGTCTCCGGGTTTCTCACAATCAATGAAGCTCAGCCTCTTCAGGAGAAAGGGAAACACAGCAGGGAACCGTGGCCCGGAGAGTTTGCAAAGCCTGCCCGGAAAGGAGGAACCGGCTCTGCTGAGGAAGTAGGTTGGGGAGTCAAGAATGTATCTTCCTTTTCCAACTGGAGATAGGCGCCCTCTGTGAAGGGGGGCAGGCAGTCTTTCCTCTTTTCTGGAGCACCTGGTAGTTATTTTCATTCATTCCCCTTTGAGTCTGAGAGCTCAGTATCCAGAACCAGCTCACTAAATATTTGTCGACTTCACCTGCTGACCAGGTGACCTGGGATCCCAACTATTTTCTATAAACATTGGCAAGTTGGGTTTTCAACACGGAGCTGTACTTTCCATGCTTGATTTTAATCTGTCTCTCTTCCAAGCACTTCAGCTCCGATAAACTCTAACCACTTCCCAGCAGCTGCTTTGAAAGCTGGCTGAACGGAACCCCTGACGCGGAACATCCTTGACCTTGGGATCACACTCCGGAGGTTCGGCTGTTGGGGGGGGGGGGGAGTAGGACCAGGGTTCCTCCTCTCTCTCTCTCTCTCTCTCTCTCTCTCTCTCTCTCTCTCTCTCGGCTCTTGCACGTGGCTTTTCCTTTTGGGCCGCAGGGCAGTGTGAGATTTGACCATAGGAAGGGTAGACTCTCTACAGGAATAATAACGTCAAAAATTCCATATGGGTCACTCACTCATTGGCACATGGCACTTACCAGTCATTGCTTTGTTTGAATAACAATATGAGGTGCTCCTTAGTGAACTGGCCTTGCGCTGGGTTAGGCATTGCCTGTGAGGAGCCTGTGTTTAGCAGGGCAGCAGACAGCTGACAACACCCCAGCACTAGACGCTAATTCCCTCTTTATAGGGGGCAGCCAGAGGACAGGAACTAGGATACCTGTGCCTTCGAGGCTCAGTCCTGGGACTGCCATTTGAGGGCAGGTCTTCAGTAAACACTTAGAATGACAGCTACATTCAGAAAGGTCTGTGGGATTTCAACCAGCTTATCTACTGTCTTAGTTCTGTTTATGAATTTTGCTTTATATAAAATTTTATAATAAAATTATTTAAGTTAAAAATAAAAGAATCCCCACAAACCCTGTAACCAGAGTCCCCAAATGTTGCCATTTTCCACTCTGAGTTTATTATTTCTTTCTACACACACACACACACACACACACACACACAAACACACATTTTTTTCCTGAATCATTTTAACAAGTTACAGATCCCATGCTCTTTACTCCTAAATACTTTATTTTACTGTGTATTTCTTAAGAACAGGGTCTCTTTCTTATATATCCCCACCCCCCAGTACAATGATTCAAATCAGGAAATGAACATTGATTTAATACTAATAGCTAACCTATACAGGCAGTCCTTTCTGACCGGGGGAGCCTTTTCCTATATTCCCTTCACTTCCTGGTGAATTTTCAGTCAATTTCTGTCTGGTTAGCAAACTGGTGGCTCTCCCCTCTTGTCCCTTCTTCCCACCTCCACCCTCTCCCCCTTAGGAAACAGGGTTTTCCAGCAAGGAGACTTGTAGTAACAGATGGGACATTGTCATGTCCATCTTCAAGCACCGGACTGTTTAACGTCCACACCAAACGCAGGACGGAGTCAACCCCCAATGCGGACTCCAGGAGTGGGCAGGCGCCAGCACCGATGGACACGCCCCCTAATGGTGTTTGCTTTGCCCCTGTGTAAACGGGAAGGATCTGCCCTTTGCTTCTCTGTTGCTTTTTTCTACTCGAAAGAGAAAGCACATTTCCACTCTGCTCAGGCATAAAGGGCACCTGACAACTGACTTCTCACCTGTGAGCTAGCTGTGGTCCAAGGTGGGCAGGGAAAGCAGATAGTCTGCCGGCTTTTAGCTCAATCTGACTCTTGGAGTGTTTTTCCCATTTGCATCCACGGATCACGCAGGTCATGGGTGTTCCTTTTTGCACCCAGCAATGGGAGGACGCCTTCCTAAAAGCAAGATATAGATGTGGGGGTGACATGGAAAGAGAAAGAAATTTGCTATTAGCAATCATCAGATAATCAGATAAGGACGAATCATTGTAGATAGGGCAGGCAGGGCTCGGCTGTAAATACGTTAGTTCCCACCCTTTTCATCAGCCCTCACACAGCCTTGGACGCTGCAGCTGGTCTCACTGGGAGAAGGAATGTCGCTGGGAAAGGAGAACAGAGGTGAGGTGAGCGGGCAGACCCTGTAACCAGGCAGAGGCCGTGTGCACTGAGCTTGGGAGAGGCTCGGAGCATGGCCCTCGGGCACGGGGCCAGGTCTGCAGGAAGCCCAGGTGGTGTGCCCTAGAGGGGGAAGAGGGAGGAGAAGCCAAACTGGAAATTTGATCCCAAAAGGGGACAGTCATTGAAACATCCTTCACAATTAGGTGGTTTTGAAGGAAAATATAGATCCTGTGGTTTTCCTGAGGGAGTGAGAGGGGGTCTTAGCAGCCACAGGTGATGATGTGTAAATTCTGTAAGAAACGGAGGTGCCGGCTCTCTCGTTGGGCTGTTAAATCTCAGCAGTCATTGCATCTCTGTGCACGTTGCTTATGTGGCCACGGCCACCGCAGCAGAGGGTGGGACAGACCCAGCCTGGCCAGGGCTCCCCAAGGTGGACCCCAGTCAGTCTCCGCGTCACTGGGAACACAGGGTGTCACTCAAGACGTGCCTCTGTCTTCCTTCCTCCCTCCCTCTCAGAAAGAAATCTACCCCTGGAAAACTCTTAAACTCAATGTCCTAAAGTTGACCTCCCTGATATTTTTCAGTACGTTATTCTCTTCCATGGTCTGCCCTCTCTCAAACACGTAAAAACCTTTCTTTTTTTTTTCTTTGTTGTTTGTTTGTTTGTTTGTTCTTTGCCCCCTTCCTGGCTGGATTTTTTTTTTTTAAATAGGGCCCAAGGATAAACAAAAGGTAGTTCTAGCATGGAAGGGGCAGGATTTTAGAGCAGGGGTGTGGACGGGAAGGGGTGAGAGGGGAGGAGAGGAGTTGGTGGAGGACAGGAGGTGCACGTGGTACTTTTCATGCCATTTGTCCAGCTAATCCTATATAATAAAGCGGTAATATGCAAATTGACCATCACTCCAACACACAAGATGGCCGCCCCCATGTGGTCAAAGATGGCCGTCAGAGGAGGGCAGTTGTGGGCAATCAGGCCAGCAGGGAAGGACAGTTGGGAGGGACCAAGCCTGCAGGGGAGGGCAGTTAGGGGTGACCAGGCCGGCAGGGGAGGGCAGTTGGGGGTAACCAGGCCTGCAGGGGAGGGCAGTTTGGGGAAACCAGGCCTGCAGGGGAGGACAGTTGGGGATGACCAGGCCTGCAGGGGAGGGCAGTTGGGGGGGACCAAGCCTGCAGGGGAGGGCAGTTAGGGGTGACCAGGCCAGCAGGGGAGGGCAGTTGGGGGGGACCAGGCCAGCAGGGGAGGGCAGTTGGGGGGGACCAGGCCTGCAGGGGAGGGCAATTAGGGGCGACCAGGCCAGCAGAAGAGGGCAGTTGGGGCAATCGGGCCAGCAGGGGAACAGTTAGGCATTGATCAGGCTGGCAGAGGAGTGGTTAGGGATGATCAGGCTGGCAGACAGAAGCAGTTAGGGGCAATCAGGCCGGCAGGCAGGCGAGAGGTTGGGAGCCAGCAGTCCTGGATTGTGAGAGGGATGTCCGACTGCCCTCGAGGGGTCACAGATTGGAGAGGGTGCTGGCTGGGCTGAGGGACACACGCACACACACACCATGCACAAATTTCGTGCACCGGGCCTCTAGTATATGAAATATTAGCAGAAAATGGGCATGAAGGGGGAGCAGAGGCCGGAAACAAAACCCTGGGTAATTTAACTGAGAGCTTTGAAGGAGGAAAAGCTTGTACACACGTGTTCACTGGCTGAGCTCCCAGTGATTTCTCTGCCTGCCGATCCTCTGTTGCACTTGGGGTTTGTGTCTTTCAGTTGGTGCCACATTGGTAGAAAGATACCATTTGCCTCTTATGCCAGAAACAAGCCTTACTTGATACTATTAAGGCTGTTGTGCGTATGTGTATGTCATGGCTAGATTACATCTTCCTTAGGTGGAAGGCCTCCATCTTTTTTTTTTTTTTAAGCATGCTGTATCCCAACAGAGCTGAATAATAAGCATATGCTTAGTATGAATATTCACTTGTATGCTCCCCAGCAACACTATGTGCTAGTATATTGTTATCCCCATTCACAGATGAAATAGGCCCTAAGTCACAAGCCAGTAAGAGGCAGAGCTGGGCTCTGAACCAGGTAAGCCAGGCCACTCCCCCCATCTCAAATCTGTGATCACATCCGCAAAGATTTGTTTGTTTGGTTGGTTGGTTGGTTTTGTTCATATGAGGTAGCATTCACCAGTTGCAGAGGGTAGAATGTGGCTGTTTGGGGGTTGGGGCATTTTTAGCCTCCATATGGGGTTATTTGTGGATTTGACTTATCAGTGTCAACCTAGTCCCTTGTAACCAGCCAGCCAGTCTGTACTATTTAGAAAACACCAGGAGTTTTCTCTGTGGGTAAAGGCTTGTGAAGCAGCATCGTGGGAAATTCTTCCATGACTGGAGGAAGAAGAGAGACCATGGGAGGCAGTAACCCCATCAACAGCGAGGGATCTCTCTCAGTTTCAAGTGCACACGTCCTGTGGACACAGAGGGACGGGGGCTTTAGCCTGTCTTTGAGAAGGTTGAAAATATTAGAAATGGAGAATGACTCAAAGGAAAGACCAGAACAATGTAGTCTGTTTCCCATGCAGAGAAGGTTTTGTTCAGAGGGCAATTTGCAGGGGAAAAAATGCCACCTTGGGAAAAGGCAGGGAGACAGTGGGCAGGTGAGAAATGAAAGAAGCACAGACTGAGTCCACCTGCCACCAGGAAGCCCAAGGGGTGCTCTTAATATTTAAGGATCGGGCACGGGGAGGACCAGGCCTGCAGGGGAGGGCTCCCCAAGGTGGACTCAGGTCCTTTGAAGCCCAAGAACTTCAAGAATGGAGTCCACGAACTGTGGCCAAAATCAGCCCAGCGAGGGGAAGGGCAGAGCAGGAGCAGGTGCGTCAGGTGAAGCTGGTGATGATGACCTGGCTCTCACCTCCTCGGGTCTCTAACAAGGAACACGTGGGTCAGCTGCCTCATCCTGAAGTCCTTGAATACTTGAGTAGCTAATCCCCAGCACAGACACCTCCCCTCTCTCTGACACCTCCTGCTGCCCCGGCTAGGCTCCCGTGTCCCCCAAAGAAGGCAGTGGAATAGAAAACGCATAGATCCTTTCAGTCCCGCCTTTCTCTCCCCAGCGTTCTTCAACCAGTATTTCCTCATTTGCAAAATGCAAATGACACACAGAACTCCCAGTGTGAGGGAAAGGGTCTGGCACAGAGACAAGTATCAATAAATGTTTGAGAGCTCGGAATCGGTGATATCCAATACATATAGGCATTCCAGTGCCTCCCTGGCCCACATGTTATCTTTCTGCCAAAATCTGACTCCACTAACTTGTGAGTAGCTAGGAAAGAAAAAGCAAGCCTAATTGATATTAGAATGTTATTCACTGTGTTTTCTCCCTTTTATGTTTTCTTTTCCAGATGATAACAAAAAATAATCCAGATGGGGTGCAGGTGCTGTAAAATGATACAAAGGTAAAGTTGGGGGGGAAATACCTCATTCGAATGGAGGAATTCACGATTTCCATGGAGGCCCTCTTAAAGACCCTGCGTTGATTCTGCATTTATCTCGTTGGGGCTTGACCAGCATTGCCAAGAAATTAAGAATTTGGAATTGCTTTGATGTCATTTAAGAGCACATGTGGCCTAGATATTAAAACCTTTTTTTGTTGTTGTTCCCTTCTCAGAGATGTTGGGAACTCCGTCATTCTCTGAGATTGAATTTGTTTGGGCTGAATTTACATTTCTCCAGGGAGTAATGCAAAGCAAAGCTTCAGTTTTGGAGGATGCCTGCAATGGCATCACTGAAAATAAATCGCCCTAGTCACATATGTGCTTTTAATTTTTTCCAGATTCTATCCCAGAATGTGGGTAATAAGAACAGAATTCTCTGTAAAACAAAGGGGAAAACATTAACTAATGATTTTGCTTCCTTAACAAACAAATTTATGTGTTATTATAGTTCTATTCCATATCTATCTACATATACATATGTATTTTTATCCATATGTAAGTATATACACCACACATACATATGTAAATGTTACTCCACTGTAATCATAATGTGATGTTACACTTTACCAACAATCCTATATAATAAAGACGTAATATGCAAATTAACCCTCATGTCCTCACAAGATGGCTGCCTATGACCAGGCTGGCAGGGGGGGGTTAGTTAGGGGCGATCAGGCAGGCAGGCAGGTGAGCAATTAGGAGCCAGTGGTCCAGGATTGTGAGAGGGATGTCCCAGATTGGAGAGGGTGCAGGCTGGGCTGAAGGGACCCTATCCCCCCCCCCCCCCCGCACGAATTTCGAGCACCAGGCCTCTAGTATTTATTATAAGTATCTTTCATGCTAGTCCAGACTTCATATTTATCCTTTTGATGACTGCATAATATTCCATTGAGGAGATGTACCCTCAGTATGTAACCAGTTATTTTCCTGATTTTGCACATTTATTTTATTTTCTATTTACTTTTTTTGCTTGTTTTTAAATTCCATGAACTTTGTTCTGAATCTTCTTCCCACCCTCTTTTGAATCTTAAGATCTATTTCCAGTGGCAGAACACTTTTATGCCAACTATATCTATTTGATTTAGACACACATATAGGCTTACATAAGTAACGAAACACAGAAATTAACAGGAAGAGAAGCAGAGCCTGTAGTAGAGATTATTAATAATGGAAGTTAGTGATTAATAAAGTGATGAACAAATAAAGTTAATAATCCACCTGACTGATCTTCATTATTCTCCCCCCAGCTATCTCTTCGATCCCGTTCAAGTGCCCTCCCCCGGCTATGTCAACGAGGTGAGCAGCTGCAAGTTGGAGGAAGAGGACACTGTTAAATTAAAAGGCAAACAGAGCAGCGAAGTCCTGGTGCATAAAAATGACCTTCAGCGGGAGGGCTTGAGGAGGACGGGGAGCAGAAGCCGGAGGGCTGGGCCGCAGGAGCCCGGCTGGCCTCCCCAGGGGCCGCACCCTCCAGGGGACACGGGAGGGGAGCCCTGTGTGGAGAAGACTGGTGGTGCCGTCAATGGCATTGGGCCCGTGGCGGCCCTGCCGCCCCCTGGGGATCCTGGGCCCCCCCAGGGTGGCACAGCTTCCTGGGCCAGTACCGCCAACAGCGTGCCCCCAGCTCACCCCTTCCTCGAAAGAGGGGGCCCCAGGGAAATGGACTGTGCGCTGCCGGCCTCGGGAGAGACGGGAGTCGTGGGGAATGGAGACTCCAGAGTTTCTTCCAAGGCCGAGGGTCCTACGGTGGACGTGCCGGACCATGTCCCCCAGATACCAGCCCCGGACTACCCTCCACACTGGGGCTCGGCTGGAGAAGACGTGGATCACGAAGAAAAAGAGGAGGTTTTCCAGGGCCGTCCCGAGGAGGAGAGCCCGGAGGAAGCGCGCCCAGGCGCGGGGGAGCAGGGCTTGAACCTGCCCTTCTCCTTCCCGGGGAAGCGACGCTGGGATTCCTTAAACGGGGCAGTGGCCGCGGAGGTCCCGAGCGTCCACTTTAAAGAAGAGGACCCCGCCCCGGCCGCGCCTGTGGCCGATGGGAGAAACGGGTGGGAGGACACCCCCCGCACCCCAGGAGACGCGAGCGGGGAGGCGGAGGAGGAAGACGCGGAGGTGGCGGAGGCCCTGGCGGCTTTGGAAGCGGCCACGGCCGGGGAAGACGTGGACGACGTGGATTAGGGGAGGGGATTGGCGCGTGCAATGGAGCTGGTGTCACAGGGGCGTTGGGTGTGATTGCTCCGCAGAGCTGAGCTGAGTCTGCAGCGCGCGGTGCAGCCCTGCCTGTTTACAGCCAGCCTCGTGCTGATGACGGCGTGCCCGTGCCCGCTCCTTAAATATTGAGAGCGCCCCTGTGGGTGGCCCATCACTCAGGACACTGGAACGAAAAGCAGAGTGGGCCATGGTGCCGCTGGCTGGAAATGAGCCTCTTCGGCAACCCCCAGAGTCCCCACAACATCTGGTGCAGCTGTGCTGGAGAATTCTCTGAAATCCCAGCGCTTCGCCCCAGAGCGCAGACTCCCGGAACAGTCTGTTTGACTGTCGTTGTTTTTGTTAATCCTCACCCGGAGATATCTTTTCCATTGATTTTTAAAAAGAGTGAACGTGGGGGAAAGAGAGAGTGGGAGAGAGACATCGATGTGAGACACATCCATTAGTTGCCTCCCGCAGGCCCCTCCCTGCCAGGATCCAACCTGCAACCCAGGTACATGCCCTTGAGAGGGAATAGAACCTGTGAACCTTCAATGCGCAGCCAGCCATAGAGCCATGCCGGCCAGGGCTTGACTGTCAATTCTTTATCTTGCCTTTGAGAGCCAAACGTTGGCCCCAAGCTAGAAGAGGTAACTACCCCACTTAAAGTGCCTACTGTGTGGCCAGAGCGTGGCCTGCATTCAGGGACAATCACCCAGGGAACTAGTAACTAACCACTTGTTTGACAGGAGGTTAAGCTCAGTGGCACTGAGGGAGGAGCTAAACAATGGTTAGTCATTGGCCGTAATATTAAGGCACCTTGACCTTAACTTTTTTATATTACTTTTTAATCTCCTTTGGGATTGGGGAAGCTGGTCAAAATAATTGTTGAAACTCCTTATGTCATATTTGTGTTCGAAGTTTATGAGATTTGGAACAGTGAAGAGATATATAGAGTATTTTATGCCATTTAATGCCTGATTCTGATTAAAATATAACAACCTATGTGGTTGCCTGTATTGATTCAGTGGCGCTTCTAATATTCCCAGATGGAGTGTCAATGACCTTTGATGGTGGTTGTTTGTGCGTTTGTTTTTCAATTTAAAGAGCCAGACTTCTAAATCACACTTGAGGAGGAGACCGGGTTACTTTGCTGAGAATGGCCCTGGCTCTCTCTGTCCTTGGGGTTCATTCAGACTCTTGACAACATGACTACCTGTGCCTTAAGGATAAATGAGCCCTCTAGGGTTTTCACCTTCTAATTTACAAAAACAAGGACAGCCATTCGGACATGGCTCGATGGAGAATACATAGGATGGTCAAGACTATCTAGAAAAATATAAACATGGAGATGCTTTAGTTTGGTATTTCATAACAGGTTCTGAAATCTGACTGACCTTGGTCTGATTTTTGACCTTGCAATGTGACCTTGGGCAAGTAATTTATCCCTTCTATTCGCCTATCTGTTAAGTGAGAATGAGAATAGTCTGTACCTGCAAAGATGACACAAGGTTATGCAATGGTTAGCACAATGCCTGGCAAACAGTAGGCACTTGGTAAAGTAAGTCTTCTTAGTTAAACACCTCCTTTAAGCAAATATTTACATCCTCACAACTGAAAATGTTCATACAGTGAAGTATATACAATGTCCTCAAGCATTTTGGTAGTTATTTAACATAAAACATGATTTCTGGGCCTCCCAGCATCTTTAAGGACGGTACCCTAAGAAATAAAGACATACATTGCCCTGGGTTTGTTTGGTGACAAGCCACCTCTACATACAAGGTTAGTCAGAACCCCTAAAAGATAAACTGTTGGCATCGTTAATGCATGTGTTTGCTATTGTATTTAGTACACCAAATGCTTAATATTTCAGAGAGGTTCCTTCAACAATTTCTCGCGTGCATCTGCTGGGATTAGGTACCGCTGCATGTGAGAAATAGCTTATAAAGACAGAGCTTTATTTACCTCTTATGTCAAAAGTCTGGAGGTAGCATTTCGGACTGGTAGGGCTATCAGTGACACATGCTCCTTCTATCATCTTGGCTTCCTTCTCGAGACCACTGTGTGGTCCATAATGGCTACTGGTTGCTTTCCATGTAGAAAAGAGAATAAGGACAGTCATTCTGACATGGTTCACTCCCTCTCTACTAAGGACCTCCTAGAAGTATAATCCAGCCTTTCTACTTATTCCTCGTTGGTCAGTGTCAGTCATTTGGCCACATCTAGCTGCAAGAAAGGCCAAGAAAACTTATCTTTTAGCTTGTGTGCAGGGCTTTCCCTAAGAAATTCAGGATCCAATCACAGAGAAAGGGGAAATGGACCTCGAGTTTTGAGGCGGCCAGCCTACAGTCTTCGCACATCAGGTCTTCAAAGCACACGAGCCTGGGATAGAGCCGGTTTGCAAGAAGTTAACATTGTATTGGCATTTAGTATAACGCAGAAGGGGTTTACGCCTTTGGTCCAGGGGAAGGAGGACTGGGCAGCTACAGCTGTCTCGGCTCTCCCCTGGCATCTCTATCAGAAGGCTAAAGGAAGGAAACTCAGATGAGAGGGGAAAGGGGAGGCCTCTTTCCCTTGCACAGAAACACACTTCTGCATATGTACCTAATTTTCCATTTCAGGGCTGCTGTCGATATTTCGCCATGACTAACAACCCTGCTAAGTGTCAAATGTTCTTTTTCTGCAAAATAATTGCTTGAAAAGGTTAACAGATGACCAAGAATTTCAAGTGTTTTGGTGGTTGTTTTTTAAGCAATCCTGGCCCCTTTTGTCTTTGCCCCAGTAGACTCCACCAGAGGCTGTCAGAGGAAGTCAAGATCTTTAGGTTGAAAAGACATTGCAGACTTAGCTTTATCCGCCAGGTTGTCTAGCAGCTTCCGGGGCGTCCTGCTCTGTGCAGTGTCTTCCTTCTGGAGCTAGTGCCGCGGTTGATCAGAAAGTATGCCGACAGGCTCTGGACCACGTGAAAGCTCAGACTCACTGTGAATGTCAGGCCCCGGCCAAGATGAGGAGTGGACACCACACACAGTTCCTGATCTCCGCAAGCCGCACCAAGTGGGTATTTACCATAAAAGCTTGCTTTTTTAAAAGATAATTTTCTATTGTTAAAACTATTACATATGTCCCCTTTTTAATCCCTTTGACATCCTCCAGCCTGACCCCCCCGCCCCCGTCTTCAGCAGCCTATTGTCTGTGTCCATGGGTTATGCATATCAATCAAAGACCTGTATGCATATACGCATAACTTAAAGCTTGATTTTGATTGAAGATTTTTTTCGATATTACATATAGGCTTCTTGAGCTAAGAAGTGGTATTTCACTTTGTACTGGAGGAAGTTGAACTATTATAAGAATGTGAAAGTCAATCCTTTCTCCTGGTTTCCAAGGTAGACAGTAGCACATTGTTCTGTCTAACCAGCTCCCCAGTAGAATGAAGGGAATTTGAGGCTTCTCAGCGCTCACCCATGTGTCTGGGCTCAGTAGTGCTGGCCATTCATCTTTCCCTCTCTCTGCCTCACCCTGCTCTGACCCTGTGCACCCTCACCTCCCCCTTTGAGTCTGATTTTTATGAGGCTTCTGTGTTTTCTGCTTTTAAGCATCTTTGGAATAGTTGATATAAAACAAGGATAAAATATGACCAAGAGACCAAAAGGTAGACAAAGAATTTTACTCACCTCCCTTTATCAAAACTACACATTCCAAACTAACATCAGTGAGACAGCTGGTGGACAGGCTGATTGGAATATTTGTTTAGTCTGGATCTTGCTACTTTATAAGCAAAACCATAAAATTTTCTTATGACGAGTTACCAACTTAAAAAAAAATCCCACAAAAATAATTGCATTTCCAGAATGAAAAATATTTTCCTCCTTTTTCGTGCTTTGAAATAGTCCTAAGGCTCCGGAGAATGGTGTGAGTGAGCCTTGGTACTTAATAAACAAGGAAGGTTTCATGGGTCAAAGTGGGTTGACGGTCTCGTCTCATTAACTAACACTCTCTGTCTTAAATGTTGATGCTTAGGAAAAAAATAAAAAGTGGCCCATTTATGAAGCCGTAAGATCCTATGATTTTCATGACATCAACCATGAGCCAGGAGACAAACCAAGGACTGTTACAAAAATTTTAAATAAAAGTTTGTAAGAGAAAGAAGTTATTACAAGGAAAACATCAGCAAAGACAACATTTCAAAATAATTTTCCAAGTAATACAATTAGTGATATAGAAATCTTACTCAGCAATAATTTCTGGGAGTCACCAAGTTATAGTTTTTGGCTTTTAAGAAGCTTAAAAGCCAAAAGTAGCTTAACCTTTTTTAAAAACCAGCATGGCTTTGTGAAGCATGGAGTTCAATGCATCATCTCACAGAGGTCCACCATGACCCTGGGAGTTATGGTGCGATTACCCCACTTCTCAGATGGGGCAATGGAGGCTCAAAAGCTAGCTCAGTTACAGTCACTCAACCAGCCAGTGTCAGGATCTCAACTGAACCCAGACTGAGTAACAGATTGGTCCTTTGAAGGAATCCATAATACAGCCTCCCTGTGGAGACAGCCGGGCTGCCATTAGACAAAAAGGGCTGAATCAAAATGTGAAATGTCCAAGAAGAGAGAGCCTGTGGTCTCCGTCATTTCAGGGAACGCAACAATCACCATGACATGAATTCTGAGAGCTGACAGGTGGGGGAACTTGAAAACAAAATGACGGAGAGAAAGACCATTCAATTTTGGAAAAGAAGGTGTGTGTTTTTTCTGGTTCTGAGGAGGAATGTAATAAAGAATTTAAAGATTATAGTCAAGAACTTGTCTGTTAGATCTCTGAGACTACTGCTAGCAGTGATGATAGTTGAGTTTTTACAACGATCATGGGACCATGGACTTCTTATCCCAAGAGCATGAGGTGGGCCCAGGGGCTATCCCCATTCGCCACGTGAACAGACAGTGTGATGCAGCTTGAGATTCCTTTCCTGGGCCTTGTCACCTGTTAAGCAGAAGTGACGGCTATGCCTCCCTCAGGGCTGTAATGAGACATATGAGATACAGAGTATAAAGTAGTTAGTACATACCCAGCACGAGGTAATTAATTGATGTTTGGTGTCATTTTATTACCCAGTAAAAATAATTTGACATTGGACCCTTTATGAGTAGCACTCATCACTTAAAAAATTTTTTTGTGTATTCCTTTCTAACAATTTTTATTGATTGATTGATTTTTAAAGAGAGAGAGAGAGAGGGAGAGACATCAACTTGTTCACTTATTGATGCATTCATTGGTTGATTCTTGTATGTGCCCTGACTGGGGATTAAACCCACCACCCTGGGAGCTCTGACCTACTGAGCTACGCCAGAGCCTAACACATTCTTTATTAACTAAATTTTGAGTGCTGTGGCCACCAAAGCTCTCTGAATCACTCCTAATAACATTAAACAATTCCTAAACTAGATACGTGCTTTTCTACTTACATTATTCATAATCATCTCAAGACAAAAATCTTGGGGGCACTTCAAATATAATACATTTGAAAATTCTCATTATTTATTTTCATTATTTTTATGACGTGACCATCATAGGACACACAGCCATTTATGTTACAATTTTAAGTCATACTGTGTTTGAAATGAATATTTGCTCGATCTACTTCATGTATCCTTCCTTGCCCCAGATAAGCTTTTATAAAACTAAATGCATTTCTAATGCAAGACAGAACTTTGGACTTGGCAGGCCTGGCTTATTTCAGAGGGGTGGTTTTGTTTGATGTTTGTTTGTGTTGGTCAACATTAAGATATTCACCCATAATAGGCGAACCCATGAATTTTGCCATTGGGTATAATGTTACAATTCCAAGAGCATTTATCTAACTTTCCGAGCTAGATTAATTTGCAGATAAAAAGTAATCAAGTTCCTTTAAACCCTCTGAGATGGCTATACTAAGTTCATGTCTTATCATGAGAGCAATAAGCTAAACAACAGCCAGAACAAACAGAAACCTGCCCCTTACCTTGCCAATCTGGGTCCATTCAACATCAGGACAATGAGATCATTCTCTCACTTCAGGTCTGTGACCTGGTGTGGGGAGAATCTCAGGCCCAGTGGATTACAGGCCCCGTTTCTACCTGCTTCCTCCTACATTAGTCGGGGCCCGTACCCCCACCCCAGGTCCATCCTCAAACACGAAGCAATGTGAACTTGGCAGAAACATCAAGCACCGACTCTCAAATGGCCAAACTGCCATCGTTCTATCATTTCTTTTGCTAAAGAGGGTGTGAGCTTGGCTGCTCTGAGGCAGCTCACTGAATGGGCGCCGACTGTCCCCAGCCCTGGGCTAAGTACATGACTCGCCCAAGCTCATAACCGTGACAACCACTCTAAAAGGCACATATCACTTTCACCCTGTAGTTAGAAGATTAAGATCCAAAGATTTTAAGGTCACGGGTGGCCAGAAGCATCGGAATGTCCAAAGCTGTGCACGTACAGGAGCTAGAATCGCGCCCCCCACGGCAAATCAAGGAAAGACCTAGAGCCATGGAGGGAAAGACGGGGTTTGCAAGAGCATTTCAGAGCAGAAACCACACCACGGCCAGGTCCCCGGCTGCAGATCCAAGGCAGCTCTGAGCCACCTCAGCTGTAGGGCCAGATGCCAGGTGCCCCAGGTGGCCCTGTGATGCCTTCTGAGTCACTGCATTAGTCATGGGTTTTTGTTGTTGTTGCAAGTGATAGAAACTCAACCCAAACTAGTTAAAGCAAAAGAGGAATGTCCCTGGAACACAGGAAACTCCGAGGGCAGCTGAGCCTGAGGCCTGAAAGCAAGCAGGCTGCCTCCCTTCCCTCTGCATGCCCCTTCCTTTCTTCAGACCGGCTGCCGACCACATGGCAGGAACCTTGGCCTCCACCAGCCTCTGAGCCTGTAGCTTTTGCCACCAGAGAAATAGAACACTTTTTCCAGCTCCAGTTGGCAAACATCTCAAGGAGGGGCTCCACCAGGCAGGTCACCGGCAGGTCATGTGCCAGGTCACAGGCCGGTCATGTGCCCACCTTGGTCGCGTAGGCTGCAGTGGGGAAGAAAGGCACATGGCTGGGTTCTAAAGGGAGGAAGGGTTCTCCAAAGGAGGTAGGTGGCATTTGCAGACGGGAGAGGTGCTGGGCTGGTGGCCTGTCAGCTACTCCCTGCACGCACTACCTCTTCATCCTTATTTTTCTTTTCTTTTTATGCTTTTTTTTACTAGAGGCCCGATGCATGAAGATTTGTGCAAGAATAGGCCTTCCTTCCCCTGGCTGCCAGCACTGCCTTCACTCCGGCCAGAGCCACCTTCTGCCTCTCTCCTTGTAGAGTCAATTTGTATATTCCCTCCTTATTGGCTGTGGGCGCCGCTATCTTTGTCATGAAGTTATGGTCAATTTGCATATTCCATCTTTATTAGATCGGATTTTTTTCAATTACAGTTTACAGTCAATATTATTTTGTATTAGTTTCAGGTGTACAGCGTAGTAGTTAGACAATCACATGCTTTACAAAGTGTTCCCGCTAATATTTCCAGTGCCCATCTGGCACCAAACATAGTGATGGCAGTATTATTAACTATATTCCTAGGCTGTGCTTTACAAGGTATTTTTTCACCCCTCAAAACATGGAACCTCCCCTCTTCCGTGGATCCTGTGTGAACCTCAGGGTTCAGCTTCAGAGCAAGAAGTTGCTGACTCAGCTTCTTTCTCGGATAAAGCTGTGTGTGTGCTGGGCCACTTCGCAGGCCACCTGGCTCCCAGCGGTGGGACAGATGCACACAGACCTTCTCTGAGTGCCACGCATGGCTGAGCCAGGCACCGTCACTGTGCACTCATTTTTCTGATCTTTAAAAACCCTGTGAGAAGGCCAGAGAGAGTTGGGGGGCAGGAGGGAGGGGAGTAAGAGATCAACCGAAGGACTTGTATGCATGCATATAAGCATAACTAATGGACATAAGACACTGGGGGGTAAGGGAGGGTAGGGGTTTGTCAAGGGCGGGGGGGAAAAAAAAGGACACTTATGTAATACCCTTTGTAATACTTTAAGCGAAAAATAAAAAAATATAAAAAAAATAAAAATAAAAAATAAAAATAAAAACCCTGTGAGGTAGGTCATCGTACAGACAAGGACTGTGCGGCTCCGAAAGGTAAAGTAATTTTCCCGATATCACACAGCAGCGAGTGGCAGAGCCGCTGTTCAACTCAAAAGCAAAGGCCGGGCTACTTGTTGAAGATCACACTGCTTTCCGCAGTCACAGCACTTCCAGCACAGGCTTCAGGACGTGGGCTTCCTCCAACACGCGGCTCAATCATTTCCACCCGGTCCCAGGTCACACCTGCAGGGACGCCGCTCCCAAGGAAGAAACGGGGCTTTCTGATGAGAAAGACTGAGACTGCCAGGGTCAGAAAGCGGGGCAGGGAAACCTCAAACTTGAATTTTTACTTCCATAAAGTAGTTAAGGATAGTCTTTCATTTTTAAAGGTAGACTTTTATTTATTTACTCCGCAAATAACTTTCCGAGCTCCAGTTGAAGATACAGCACAACAAATGGCCACGAAGCAGTGCAGTTCTTGCATTTGGCCAGCAGAGGGCGCGCCAGCTCTGCAAGGCCGACGACCTCCCGCCTGACACCATGTGAATCGGGTGGAGTGGACAGCGACCCCAGCTGGGCCGCCACAGAGTGCGGGACACAAAGGAGTCCCAGGTGTCCTTACAACTGCTTGGAGCTACAATGAGGGAACACCCAGGGGGGTCTGAGAACAGTCCTGAAGAACAGTCCCGGGAAGATGAGGAATGAACAAAGGAAGCCCTGGGTAGAACCAACCTGCCTCACAGACAAAAGGGTGAAGAGGACCCAGGACCTGGCAATGACCTCGGGTGCAAAACACAGACCCCTTTGACCACAGCTGAGCCCTCGGCAACCAGAGCTGGATCGTGGGACCCCACTTCCTGGCCCGACATCCCTGCCCTCAGTGGGAGGGAAGGCAGGGTTCCTCCACGTAAGGGCCGTATTAGGGTGGAGGGAGCCTACATATCACCATGGACTTGAGAAGGAAGGGCAGGAGCATCCCCGGCCGTGGACAGTCGCCCTGGAAAATTCACCCAGGCCCTGCCGGTGTTGGGCGAGCTGCACTCATGGTTCAGGCGGGCACTGCAGGGCTGGCGTTCTGTCTCCACGTGGGACCACTGCTCACTGCTCCCTGACAAGCTGAGGAAGAAAGAAGAGCAGTACAGTGACCATCCCCCACCTTCTGCATTACACCTGTGCTGGAGATGTCAAAAGGCTGATTAAGAGTGAAACTCATCCCCCCAAGTGACCCCTTTTGATTCATCCTCACCTGAGGATATTTTTTCCATTCCTTCTGAGAGTGGAAAGGAGGAAGGGAGAGGAGAGAGGAACATCGATGTGAGACAGACACATCGATTGGTTGCCTCTAGCACATGCTCCATCTGGGGCCCGGGATCGAACCTGCATCCCAGGTACGTGCACTTGACCGGGAATTGAACCCACGGCCCTTTAGTGAGCAGGCCAATGCTTTAACCACTGCTCACCGGCCAGGGCTATCTCCAAATTTAGAAAATCATTATGGTGGGGGTGAGGAATGGTGTTACCATGGCGGGTAAATCCAATGAGGAAGGCCAGCCAGATGAGACGCAAGAAATTAGGCATATTAAGCTCTATAAAGTACAGGCCCACATTGTACTTAAGGCACCAACAATTGGATCACTCAAAAGCAGCACACTGTATTTAACATTTTTATTTTGAACTCTGCTTTGGTAGTACAAAAGTCGTAGAAGTACAAACCAGACAGTTAAAAATACACTTGACACTCAAAAGGGTGAAAATTTTCCTTTACAAATTTTTACATCGAGGTGGCAGCCAACCCTCTCATTTACACCAGCAGTCAGTCCATCATCGTTAGTGTTGTGCACGGTCCGTCTGTGCGGACCCCCGTCCCTCACGGGAGGAGAGCACAGGCCTGTAAACATCACTCGCTTTGGGAACACTCACGAGCTCTTGTTAGATCATAGAAACCAGTAAAAAGCTTATGCGTTGAAAATATTGAATGCTTAACTTTTGGCATATTTTGCAGACAGATAAAAACTGCTCAAGTATTAGAAAATCTTTAAAATGTACTGTTGGTATAAATACAATCATCTTAAATATTTTGAGTATTCTCCTGCCTGTTGTATTGCTATTACAAAAAGTGCTGTGACCCGAATAAAGTTAAAAAATAATTAAAGCTGAAGAATATCATACATATTATCCCTCACCATTCTGAGAGTGTATTCTTTAAACAAAAAAATGATGCTTTATTAAAAAAAAAAAAAAAAAAAAAAAAAAAAAAAATTGAATGCTTAACTTTTGGCATATTTTGCAGACAGATAAAAACTGCTCAAGTATTAGAAAATCTTTAAAATGTACTGTTGGTATAAATACAATCATCTTAAATATTTTGAGTATTCTCCTGCCTGTTGTATTGCTATTACAAAAAGTGCTGTGACCCGAATAAAGTTAAAAAAATATTAAAGCTGAAGAATATCATACATATTATCCCTCACCATTCTGAGAGTGTATTCTTTAAACAAAAAAATGATGCTTTATTAAAAAAAAAAAAAGCTAAAACTATTGGTCTAGATCACACATATTTAGGCTAATTCACATCCCCCAAATTCCTATATTGCTACTTTCTGGACCTCAGTGAAATTTCCTCCACACTGACTTCCTCCAGTCCACTGTGTTGATATATGTATACACGTACGCCTTTTAATCAGTTGTCAGTAAAAATTCACATGAAATTGAACCTACCATTCATTTAAAAGGTTAGAAGGTTTAGTCTGATGCCAGAAACAGAATGGAATGAGTATATTTACAGTAAATACTTTAAATACATTTTAATGGAAATCACCTCCTGGGAGTCAAGTGAGAAATGTGCTTTCTCCCTCTGAAATAGAGCGAGCGCCCAGCGGCCTGGGAGCTCTCCCTGGAAGTGGACCCTGCCAGGCTTTGGCCCAGACCTACCGTAAATGTACTCTCTTGGCCTCTGAGTTCTTCCAGGTGTTTCATAAACCCTAAGGCAAAGAAAAAAGCAGGGTTTCCAAGCCAAAGGGGAAAAACCACCACGACTCTTTGAAATAACGAGCATTAGTTACGAGATGGAACCAGCAATGCACTAAAGAAAACGGCCAGGGGAAAGCGGCCCGTCTGGCATGAGAAGCGGAGATTTTTCCTTTTATTTGGACTTGGGTTGTCAAAACAAGAATTTTTTTGTTTTTTTTACTTTAAACCACTTTCCCCTTTATTGAATAAACTAAGTAAGACTTGTTTAGCTCACGTTAAAATAAAAACAAACACAAAACTTCCCAATATTTTATAAGTGACCTAAGAGCGGCATGATGTAGCAGGAGTCAACACTGAATTCTCAGTCTCAGTATCCAGCGTCTGACTCCAGGGCCTCTTGGGGATCCATTTCTCAGGACCAACTAGGTTATCTTCAGGGACCTTTCACTACCAGAGCCGTCTTTATCTTCTGCAGCAGTTAAACTGTAAGAGAATCTTCTTACGACCAGTAGTGACATAGAAGTAAGAGTTGGGGGAACAGAAGTACACGTGTGCACATGCACACACACACAATGAGTGCACACACACACAGAGCATCAGCTCAGACTGTACACGAATACTTCCACTGTACAGAGTGATCAGACTGGAAAAAACTGTGGTGTATACACCATGGGGTGGTGGCTGAAGGCAGTTGGGGAGATAAAAAAATGAGCTCTTTTCTTCCCTGGAAATGTGATAATTTTCTCATGAGACTTTTTTAAATCAAAACTTGTTTCAACGCCAACTGAATTCTGTCTTCAGCAGAGCAACAATATTCCCTTCTTGGCTTTCTTCCATATGCCTGCCGATTCCACGATAGAAATCGTACAAAAGATTAAAAACATTCCTTGGGCACAACTTCGTATCGCGTAAGTTTTCAGTCTCTTAGAACTCTTCAAATGGAGTCATTCCTAAAAGAGAAATCAAGAAAGGTAAAGCTTTGTAGAAGGTAAGCGTAATATCACAGACTAACCTGCCTGAAGATTTCAACACACAGAGAAACTGTAACCCACTTCGCCCCTTCCCACGGCATTCCTCCCGACTGCGCATTTCTTCTAGAATTCCGTCTGAAGAAAGGTAAGCACCACCAGTTCAAAAGGACCTCACTGTAAGGTTTTCTAAATGAAGAAAGAGGAACTTGAGAGCCACAGTGGACGAAGGGTATCGGTCTGGTCTAAGGTGAGCCTTCTTCCTGAGCCGGGTGCCACTTCCTGGGACCCGGCCCTGTAACTCCTCAGCCACACCTGCCACGTGATCGTGCTCAGCACAGGGAGCCTCGGATTTCAGGTGAGTGTCTTTCCCAGGCCTCACCACAGAGTTAACTCTGAGTCCCTCTTGAATACACAGGCCGCTTGGCTGGGATCGCTGGCAAGAAAGAACACAACGATGAACCGCTCAACCCTAGGTCTGCCCTGAACCTCGAGGGCTCTGTAGTGTAAGTTCTTCTAAAATAGAAAATAGAAAAAATGGTCCTAAAAGAAAAAGAAGAGAGAATTTTCCCAATAAAACTTCAAATTAGACCATTGGTAGTCAACTATTCTTATGTCTCCTTTTATCATCTGCTCCCTTAGACCTAGACTTTTTTGCATCAAGGAAAACAAGGTCAAGGGTGAGGGATGTCAGGCCTAGCATATAATGTTTCATCACAGTAAGAGTTTTCATTCCCAAGTAGGACAACTTCCCATTTCTAGTTCTTTGCACAGATTTGACCAACTTTAAGGGGGTGGGTGAGCCGAAACCGGTTTGGCTCAGTGGATAGAGCGTCGGCCTGCAGACTGAAGGGTCCCGGGTTCGGTTCCGGTCAAGGGCATGTACCTGGGTTGCGGGCACATCCCCAGTGGGAGATGTGCAGGAGGCGGCTGATCGATGTTTCTAACTCTCTATCTCTCTCCCTTCCTCTCTGTAAAAAATCAATAAAATATATTTTTTTTAAAAAAAGAAGGGGGTGGGTGAGCAAGATGGAGGGCTGGGCTAGGAACATGGGTCTACGTGAAGCCAGACCCCATGACTAGCTGTGGACCTGCAGCACCCCCTCGTGGGGCAATGGGGTCTGACAGAGGTGATATAAGTATATGCTTAACACAGAGCCAAGCAGTCAGCACATGCCCCGGGGCGAGTTCTCTGGATCATGGCCACCATCACACTGCCTTCTGGGACGGGTTAAAATTGCACTGTACACAGTGTCTTTGAAAGGAGAAGGGAAAAATACGAATTGCTGCTCAACATCTTCATACAAGGAACTAAGCAAATAAAAACGAGGGAGAGGGCAGATAACCTTTTTAAAAGCTCTATTACAAGCTGCTCAGCACTGACTCGCCGTCCTGAGCTCGCTCTCTCTCTCTCTCTGCAAACACACACGGATTATCAGGCAGCACGTGACCAGCACAGCAGCTCTCAATTTCCAGCTAAATCCCTGTCTGACCAGGATGACACCCCAGGGGAAAGAAGACACCGCGTGCTGTGGCTTATAAAGTTCCAACTGTGGCCTTACGCTGGGGCTGTGTCACATGCATGTCCACAGTGTTAAATTCCTTCTTGTCTCACGCTACAATTGTGAATATATCCACATTAATAAACAAACACAGGCTTTAAAGTGGCATTTCTTTACCACAGCACATTCCTGTTCAAAGGTGCCTTCCACAGGGTCTCAGAGCAGTCAGAACCATGACGAGGCTGATGTAAACGTGGGAAGGCCAGCAGCCGTGGACAGGAGGGAGGACAATCGATCCACCCACCATTATGCACATTTCCCATCAGGGGACTCCGCCATTTTAACAAGCCGGCCCCCTCTTTCTTTTGGTGATTACAATCTCGTATGAGTGAATGCTCAAGCTGGAAGCAATTAAGCACAACTTCCTTATATTGAAAAGACAATGCATAAATCCAAGTGTGACCATTTCCCCCGTGAAGACTGATGGGCAGAAATGTAGACCATCAAAGAGTGATCTGGCCATCAGGTGTGTCTCAGTGGTTGAGCGTCAACTTATGAACCAGGTCAGGGTTGATTCCAGTCAGGGCACAGCCTGGGCTGCAGGCTCAATCCCCAGTAGGGGGCGTGCAGGAGGCAGCCACAGGATGATTCTCTCTCATCATTGATGTTTCTATCTTTCTCTCCCTTTCTCTCTCTGAAATCAATTATATATATACTAGAGGCCCAGTGCACAAAAATTTGTGCACTCGGGGGTATCCCTCAGCCCGGCCTGTGCCCTCTCGCAGTCTGGGACCCCTCGGGGGATGTTCACCTGCTGGCTGAGGCCCGCTTTCCCGGGGGATCGGGTCTAAGCTGGCAGTCAGACATCCCTCTGGCAGCCTAGGAGCCCTCAGGGGATATCCACTTGCCAGCGGGGAGCAGGCCTAAGCTGCAGTCGGACATCCTTAGCGCTGTTGAGGAGGCGGGAGAGGCTCCCGCCACCACCGTTGTGCTGGCAGCCGTCAGCCTGGCTTGTAGCTGAGTAGAGCTCCCACTGTGGGAGTGCACTGACCACCAGGGGAGAACTCCTGAATTGAGCATCTGCTCCCTGGTGGTCAGTGTGTGTCATAGTGACCAGTCATAAACAGTGGTTCTGCTGTTAGGGTCAATTTGCATATTACCCTTTTATTATATAGGATAGAGGCCTGGTGCATGGGTGGAGGCTGGCTGGTTTGCCCTGAAGGGTGTCCTGGATCAGGGTTAGGGTCCTGCTGGGGTGCCTGGCCAGCCTGGGTGAGGGGCTAAGGGCCATTTTCAGGCTGGTCAAGCCCCCTAGTGGGGACCCTTACCCCATGGGGGTGTGGCCAGCCTGGGTGGGGTGCTGAGGGCTGTTTTCAGGCTGGCCACACCCTCTTCAGGATGGAGGTTCCACTGGGGTGCTTAGCCAGCCTGGGTGAGGGGCTGATGGCCATTTACAGGCTGGCTGGGGCCGCGGGCTAGAAGCAGGTATCTGGGATTTATTTATCTTCTATAATTGAAACATTGTAGCCATGAGCGGAGCTCAGGGCCAGCAGGGCAGGCGGGAAGCTTGGCTTCCTCCATCGCTGTGGGCAACCCAATCCTCCTGCTCACTCCAGCTCCATGGCCGCCGCCATCTTAGTTGGGTTAATTTGCATATTTGCTCCTGATTGGATGGTGGGTGTGGCTTGTGGGTGTAGCTGGTCAATTTGCATGTTTCTCTTTTATTAGATTAGATTTTTTTTTTTCTTTAAAAAAATTTAAAGACTAATCTGAAAAGAATAAAGAGGTCATTTTTTTTCTTTAAAGTTGATTGCATGCTACACAAGTCTAATTATGAAGATAAAGCCATGATTCCACCAAAGCCACATATATAGTAGTCGCCCCTTATCCACAGAGCAATACGTTCCAGGACCCTCAGTGGATGCCTGAAACCACAGACAGTACTGAACCCTATATACATCTACTATGTTTTTCCCCTATGCACATCCCTATGATAAAGTTTAATCTGGAAATCAGGCACAGGAAGAGGAGTAAGGTTTACCTGAACACAAGCTCTGCGATACCGTGACAGTCCCTCTGGTAACGGAGATGACTGCCGAGTGACTAATGGGCGGGGTGCGGAATACGCTGGGCAGAGGGATGATTCACGTCCCGGGCAGAACAGAGCAGGACGGCATGAGATTTCATCACGCTAAGGAGACAGACTCTCACTTTAAAAGTAAAACTTCAGATAAGGGAGAGGGAATTTCTGTACCTTTTTGATTAAGACATATATTTCCCTCGTTAAAAAGGATTCTCTAGAAAGGTCCCTTTAAAAATGACAAACGTGTTTGAAGATGCTAGAAACGTAAGTACTAAGCCCTCGAAGGGCAGGTGTGAAGGAAGGAAAGGACCGTAGCCACAGGAGCTGGCATTCGCAGCTGCTCCCTGTGCCGGGCAGGGCCCTGCTAAGCTCCCGGGGAAGCCCCCGGGGACTCAGTGACAATCTGTCCAATGACTACAGGAGTCAATGTCACTGCCATTCTCCTAGGAGGAAACCGAGGCTCACGGGCTCACAGCCTGCCCGAGGCCACACACACTAATGTTACAGTCACCCCACACCGGGCGGCACACCAGGCACCACAGACACCCAAGGCGTCTCCGAGATCTGCTGGGGCCCTCCCCTCTCCACCCCCACCTGTGGGGCAACAGGAAGGAACCCAGGACCTGGAACCACCAGCAGGGCCCGCCCTGGGGCGTCATCGTGGCCCCACAGCAACAGGGAAATGATGCTAGAAACCTGCACCTACGAGGCACCCCGTTCAAAAGTGCAGCTGTACGGCAGTGAAGAGATACAAGCCTACAGAACCCCTTAGCTGGCTGGAGGATTTGCTAGAACACTTTTAAATAACATAAATGGGGAAAGTTATTTATAGAAACAGCTAAAATTGCAGCAGTAATATTCATGCTCAAGTCCTATAGCTACAGGATGTGATCTCTCACCAGTAACCTGTCACCTGCAAGATCGAACTCCTCAGTGCCAAGCTCTGGTCAGCACTGTGGTTATGTGCTGGCCGTCTCTCGTGGAAAGCACTGACCACGGGACAGCAGGCTCTCCCCGCAGTGCTGCCTGCACGGACCGTCAATTTGCCAGGTGAGAGCAACAGGAGATACCAGAAGGCACAGTGGGTGTCTACAGTCTTTCATCTTGCTCTGCTCTAAACTTTGTGGTAAATTTTATAAATTTATATTCATACCTCTGTAGTTTAGTAAAGGCTCCATGTTTACTTATTTATTTTTTAAAATACATTTTTATTGATTTCAGAGAGGAAGGGAAAGGGAGAGAAAGATAGAAACATCCATGATGAGAGAGAATCATTGATTGGCTGCCTCCTGCATATTCCCCCACTGGGAATCGAGCCCACAACCCAGATGTGCCCTGACCAGGAATCGAACCATGACCTCCTGGTTCATAGGTTGATGCTCAACCACTGAACCACACCGGCCAGGCTCCATGTTTATTTAGAAAGTACAATAGATCCATGTTAACCTAGGTTAACATGTTAAGTTCCCAGCCTGTTTTATCTTCCGGACAGAAAGTATAGTGTCAGTCACCGGTGACTGACGTGGGGCTTAACGTGTTAATCCATGCAGTCTCTTTAAGTCAGCGCTCTCAGAATGATCAGTAGCACATACTTTAGAACTGGCTCAAACATTAAAAACTGCAGATTCTGCAGGTTGCAGAATCGGTTATATCACAATGCTAGTGTTAACGTTCCTCTTCCCCAACAGAAAAGCAAAAGGTGATCTCATTTCAGTTTATGTTTATTTATTAGTAAGGTAGGGCATTTTTCATGGTTAATGAACATTGCATCTTCTGTGTATTGAAAGGATTGTGCACTTAATTCCAACGTGTGTGTGTGTGTGTGTGTGTGTGTGTGTGTGTGTGTGAGTGACTGGGAGTGAAGGGGGGACACACAGGAAAATTCCAACCCTCCAGTCACATGGTCACCTAGGGGCTTTACGAGGTGACCTCAGTAACACAAGAAGACTTCTTTGGCCTTCACCACTTAGAAATATCAAGGTTTTCCTTAGCTCTGTGCCAGGACTGGGTATGAAGACCAAATACATATTCTTATTATAAATCACATCACAGCTCCTACTTCAGGAAGGAGTTTAATGATTAAAAGTTGAGTTTTTTTTTTTAAATATCAATAGTTAGCACCTTTTTATATATGTGGGTCAATCCAGGAAAAATAAAATGTTTATAGGTATTTCTTTCCATTTTAAATGGAAATAGCTTTTTAAAGTAGTATATGGATGCCCGGCCGTGTGGCTCAGTGTGTTGGAGTATCGTCCCATGCACTGAAAGGTCACAGGTTCCATTCCCAGTCAGGGCGCATACCCAGGCTGCGGATTCTATCCCCGGTTGGGGTGCATATGGGAGTCAATGGGTCAATGTTTCCCTCTCCCTCTCCCTTCCTCTCTAAAATCAATAAAAATACATCTTTGGGTGAGGATTAAGAAAAAAAAAAAGGAAACAGCATAGGGATAAAATGTATATCCCTGCCAATTATATTGCCTTCTTCACTGAGCAATGCCGGTGAGATGCTGCACTCCGATAGCTTGGAGTTTCCGACGTTAGATTTGGATCTCACTAGGAAGCCTAAAGGTTGCTCCTTACTGAGTCAGGTCCTCACAGCAACTTAAACGTGTTCAGATTTAGCAAAAATGGGTTGCCCAAGTGACAGTAAGTGAACACTGTGACTTACCAGCCCTGCGACAGTGAGAGTCAGAGCACTTTGTTCCAAGTAAAATGTGATTGACATGAAAAATGGTGCTGTATCTGGGAAAATAAGGATTCGCCTAGGAAATATTTAAATGCAGTTCTGCAGTATTAGTCTCAACACAACTATGATTCAATGCCCTTCATTCCTGGTCAAGGGCACATACCTGGGTTGCAGGCTCAATCCCAGGCCCCAGTTGGGGCGTATGCGGGAGGCAATGTCTCTCTCTCCATAGATACAGGTAGAAAAGCTTATTATTCTGAATAGTACCAGGTCTTGCTAATGAGGAACGCAAACAAGTTAGACATTAGCTTGTGAGCTTGAGTTCCGCTGACCGGCCATCAGAGCCTCTAACTGAGCATCAAATGAATAGCCTACACCTCATAGGTTATGTCCAACCTGGCCTCTCTGAGTTGCAGAAAAATTAAGAAATATTTTTAAAATTAACTTTTATACGGTTATTTGCTAAGTGTATAGTAGGGCTTGATATAATACAGTAGTAACATCTAGCATTTGCCTACTTAGCACTGAGTGCCAAGCACAGCATCCCTAAGAGGTGGGCGGTATCATCATCATCCCACTTTCCAGATGGAGAAGCTGAGGCACGAGAGGCTGAGTTACTGTCCGGAATTACACAGCTGAAACGTGACTGGGGCACAGAGAGCCTGTGCCATGGAGGCACTACAGCAAGCATGTCAAACTCGCGGCCCACGGGCCGCATGCTCTCCTGGAGAAAGCAGGTACTGCTCTTTAGTTAAACTACTTAATGTGAGTCAAGATCAAAGCCTCAAGTTACAAATTAATAACAATAAAGACCCAGTTTGTAGCTATTAATTCCCTCTTCTTTCTCGTCCTGGGCAAAACTGTCCCCTAGAGCATTTCATTCTCTGCCTCCCTGGAGCCCCGCAGGTCCGCCTCTGGGTCCCGCAAAGTCTCCGCGAGTGCCCAGCTCTGCAGTTCCTATGGTGAAAAGGGCAGAGGCCATGGCTCCTCTTTCTTAAGTTGTGGTCAAATGACAGGGCCCCTGAGGGAGAAGAGAAAAGCTCCCTGAGGGGTCAGGGGGTCAATCTCTGGTCAGCAACAGGGAGGGCCCGCAGCAGCCCCTGTGGGAGGTGTGTGTGGAGAGAAGATGGCTGGCTCTGGTGGCAATTCAAAACAAAACAAAAGGCTCTGGTTCCCATGTTGTCTCAGTTCTGGGAATGCTGACAAATATGTTTTAGTCTCTTCTGTGCACAGAACAAGGCTGTGGAAGAATAACTTAGAATATCATAGCGATGACAGCAAAGTATGTTTTTAGGTCCACCCAAAACGGCATTAAGTGTTTTGGAGCTATTTCCAACAACAAGGAACAAACAGGGCACAGAACTTTTCAAATGCATCCCAGCATTCACTCTTCATAACTCAAGCACTGGGGGAGGAGTACAAATCCAACAGTCATCAGTTCCAACCAAAAGGGGAAGTGCATCCACACACACATGCTGCACAAGCATGTGTACATGCTCAGAGCAACCCTGGAAGGATACCAAGGACGCCGACATCTGCAGGCCCCTCTTGGAAAGGGGCCTGGGAGTGATCTGTGTGCAGGGGGAAGGGGTGGAGAATGGGTGAAGGCTTACATTTTTTAAGACTTTCAATTATTGTGTGCATGTTCAACATCCAACACTTTGGAGGCGGTGAAGGGACTAAACCACCAGGGAGGGCCAGTCCAGGCTCTGGAATTAATGATCAGCATGACCTTGAACAACATACATAACCTCCTAGGGCAGTGATGGCGAACCTTTTGAGCTCGGCGTGTCAGCATTTTGAAAAACCCTAACTTAACTCTGGTGCCGTGTCACATATAGAAATTTTGTGATATTTGCAACCATAGTAAAACAAAGATGTATATTTTTGATATTTATTTTATATATTTAAATGCCATTTAACAAAGAAAAATCAACCAAAAAAATGAGTTCGCGTGTCACCTCTGACACGCGTGTCATAGGTTTGCCATCACTGTCCTAGGGCCTCCTTACTCTAAAACGAGGGAGCCAGGGAATAGGGAGAAAATTCTACTATTAATGCCAGAACAGAAATTCCATGAGAACATGGCCCTTGTCTGTCTGTCTGCCACAATGCCGCATCCCTAAGGCCAGGCACAGTGCCTGGCACAGAGTAGGGGTTCAACAAATACTTTTAATCGATATAATTATGCCTGAATTGACCTGAACTAGCAATCATAGCTCCTTTGAGATCATGTCTATGATCTTAGTCTACCTGTAAGAAAAGAGAACCGTGAGCAAACTGGACCTGGTCCAGGCACAGCTTGAACAGCCAAACAGCATCAGGAGGTCCCCACAGGAGCCCAAAGGAGGCCCTGCCTGGTGACGGATGATCCTGCCAAAATGATCACTAATGTAATCAACTGGGCTAAGTTGAGCAAGGA